AAACGGATTTATTGTGCCTTGTTTTTTTTAACTATCTGGGAAGGTTTGGTGAGATCCTGGATTTATTTGAGCATGACACCCTCATTCAATAGGTAATTTAATTTAAAACTGATTGTGTTTGTTATTTGGGTTTTTTCGGTAGAATCTGATTTTATTTGAGCACGAAACGCCAATTAAATAGATAGCTTGGTTTAAAACGGATTTTTTTTATTATGTGGGTTTTTGGAGATAGAACCTGGATTGATCGGAGTGCAAAATTTTGAATTTTTTTTTTTTAAAAAAACAAACCTGCATAAATCCTTGGTGTACTTAAAAAATGATAGGATTAAAAGGACATTGTGCTCCCGGGAATGGAGCGATTTGTCAGGTTCTCGCTTTAAGGCTTTTCATGGGGTGGTGAGTTCCGCAGGTGAATTAGGACCTTTTTGGGGATTTTAAGGAATTGAATTTGGAGAATTGCAGAGGAAAATGTTGGTTTTCTTGCACGTAGGAACACGGCCTGGACTTCCAGCGTCTTTTGGACGCCAGCGATTACAAGGAGCTGTATCGGGAAGACATGATCCGCTGGGGCGAAGAACGACGCCAAAGCGATCCCGGTTTCTTTTGCCGCATTGTGGTGGAGGGCCTGACGCAACCCATCTGGGTAAGGGTTAGGGTGAATATGCAAGCGACTTACGACCGCAGTTCAGCCTAAAATTTCCGTTGCTCAGCGAGAAGGAAGCAAAGTGAATTTTGTCCCATTTTACGACCTTTCTCGCCAGCGTTCTTAAGTGAACCGCTGCTGTTGTTAAGTTAGAAACACGGTTGTTTAGTGAATCTGGCTTTCCCCCGTTGACTTTGCTTGTGGGAAGGTCGCAAAAGGGAGTCGAGTCGCAAAAGGGAGTCGCAAAAGGGGGACACTGTGACCGTCATAATATGAGTCAGTGGCCGAGTGTCTTAATTTTGATCCCGTGACCGCGGGGGTGCTACAATGGTCGTAAGGGTGAAAAAACATCCGTAAGTCCCTTTTTCCACTGACACAACTTCAAACGGTCACTAAACGAATCGTCGTAAGTCGAGGACTAGCTGAGGTTGCCTTGAGGACCGACTCACAACACCCTTGGTTCCTTGGCTGGGCTGGGCGAATGGGGCAAATCAACTTAAAACCAGGGAGGAGCAGAATGCGGCATTCGAACTCGGGTCCCCCAAGGGGTCATTTTTTTTTTCTCCTTTCTCTCCCTCTCCCAACCTTGCCACCCAGATTGTGTGTGACACCCGCCGATCCTCGGACGTGGAGTGGTTTCGAGACGTGTACGGGGACCTGGTGCAAGTCGTGAGGGTGATCGCCACGGAGGAGACGCGGCGAAGACGGAAATGGGTGTTTGTGGCAGGTAAAAGTGGGACGGTGCGAACGTGTCGGACGGACGCCTTGTGTGTGTGCGTGTTTGCAAAAGCCAGGGATGCTAAGTTTCTAGTCCTTAAGAAACTCTAGAGAACAGTGGATGGCAGCCTCTTCCAGTTGGGCGCCTTGTGTGTGTGCGTGTTTGCAAAAGCCAGGGCTGCTAAGTTTCTAGTCCTTAAGAAACTCTAGAGAACAGTGGATGGCAGCCTCTTCCAGCCGGGCGCCTTGGGTGTGTGCGTGTTTGCAAAAGCCAGGGATGCTAAGTTTCTAGTCCTTAAGAAACTCTAGAGAACAGTGGATGGCAGCCTCTTCCAGCCGGGCGCCTTGGGTGTGTGCGTGTTTGCAA